ACGATACGGTACTCCAAAAGTGAACTAAAAAAAAAAAAATAGCGTAATGAAATTGAGGTTTGAGATAGCGATAGAAAAACTAGAAAAGTTGAGATTTTAAGCATTACCACTAGAAATTGTTGCCCATGTTTGAACAATCACGGCTGATAGGTAACCTTTGTTTCATGGTATTCACATCGGGATTATGATTTATTATCTTATTCGTCTCCAATAAATTGTAATCACGGAAAAAACCATTCTAGTCAGATGTTTAGATGTCCAAGCCGAGGCAGATTATGAATCTTTCAAAGTGCTTTCTTTTACACGCTGTGGCAAATTAGGGCTAACTTTACATAATAAGCAATGTTACAGATGCATCACTATTAGGTTGGTCAGCGCTGAAGAATGATTTTTTATGAATAGAGTTTAGTCTTTTTTTTTTTCTAATTCATCCATGGATACATAATATTCCCTTTAAATATTACGGAAAAAAAAAATAAAATTTCTACATATCTGATATGTAGAAAATCCTTTTACATTCATACTTTGTTACCCTGTTCTTAGTTTCTGGACGTGTAGTTTGAGAGCATTATTTTTCGGCAAATAAATCTGGAAACGAAAATAATCATTTTATTATTATATACCAGAAGTGACTCTTTACCCTGCGTGATTGAATTTGAGGACTATTTGGCAGTGAAGAACAATTAAAATTTAGACCGCCCACTAAATGCGCTTTCACATGAAAAAATTTTCGCACGAGAGCAACTGTGCAGAAATCGCAGGTAACACAAAACATACGTTACACGACATTGCCCGAAGTATATACAATATATGACGGTAAAAACCCTTCTTTTAAAGTCATAACAATTAATAGTACCTGCTATAATGTCTCTAGAAGATCTACCTTATGCTGCAGATGCAGAAGCACCATTATCTAACGAAGAATTAAATGTAAATTATTCGAATTGCATATTGTTTCTTGTGGTTATAGAATTTAATTGTTTGAATTACAGGTACTTCGTAGACAATATGAAAGGGAAGAAGGCGACGTTACAACACAGACAAAATTCAATTATGCGTGGGGCCTGATCAAAAGTAGAAGGAAAAATGAACAGCAATTAGGTGTTAAGCTACTTGCAGGTAAGCATTGTTTTTTTTTTTTTTTTTCCTACTTTAATTAATACTTTTTTTTTCTATTATACAGAGATATTTAAAGAATCGCCTGAACGTCGTCGCGAGTGTCTATATTATCTTGCCTTGGGTCACTATAAATTAGGAGAATATACGCATGCCAGGTATTATAATAGTGAACTTCTCCAAAGGGAACCAAATAATCTACAAGCTAAAAGCTTAAAAAATCTTATAGAAGATAAACTTAACAGAGGTATATGTTTAATTTCTAAATCATAATTCTTCTTTTTCGTCCAATCAATTTAATCAATTTCTCTCAACCTGAATATTAACAGAGGGATTGGTGGGTGCTATGAT